GTTTGCTTGGGTTTTATGCCGGCGGCAATTAAAATGAGATTATTACCAGGCGGAAAACGGTAACGAAATCAGTTACCGCTAAAACCCCAGGAAAGCCCCCAAAAACCCAAAGCAAAGACCAATCCTTAACGACTTGTTAATTGTGTAATAAATAGAAAGCTGAAAGCAGTAATGGAACCTCAACCTCAACCTCAGCCTCAGCCTCAACCCCAACCCCAGCCCGAAAATGATATGGGAGAGGGCTATATGGCTTTATATGGCTATAATCGTATGGCTGTACATATGTGTGTGTGTTAGGGGTTTATAGAGGGTCATAAGTGCAGTTTAATGCTGAGAAAAAGGGTTAAAAGAGGTCTCTAACAAGCCTGTACAAACGAATCTGAAAGGGTTGCAAAAGGCTATTAGAAGAGCTCTTAAATCATCTAGTATTGAAGAAATGTTCTCTGGCTTTGAAGGGGAGAATATTCTGGATCCTCTATTAAAAGATCATAGAAGGTAATGGCAGATGTGATTATACTGTACACCATTTCTTTTGGAAAGAATACTTTCAATAATATGTTTCCCAAGAGAGAGCCCCTGAATCGCCTAGACCACAATGAATGCCTTTTCTGGATGTTCCTTCTTCAATGTGTACTTTTTCGATAAATTTGTTTCCTTTCTCAGAGATCTCTCAGAGGTATTTACACCCTTCCAAAGTTCAAACTTCTTCAACATCTCCATGAGGAATTATTCCCCTTAAAAATCTAAAAAAATATATATGATTCGACAGACGATGAGGCGCTTGTCAATCTGTAGATACTCCCAGCGGAACTTCGAGATATCTAAGCCCCTTCTGCTTCCATCCTGCCCCCAAAAATATCTTCCCACTCTTACCATCTATCGTTCCAGCCATCCTTCCGCCATCCGCCTTTCCTCCTCTAACCACTGGATCCGAGATCCTCTATTAACCACTCGGAAAAGCCCCTTTTGGGCACACAGACAGCAATTCGCAAATGACATTTAACCATATTGAGAGGCCATAAAAGACAAATCCCAGCCATAATTACCCGCGGCAGGCAGCTGCCTCCAAAAGATCACCGACTGGAGATAAACCGACAAACAATACTCTGGCGCTGGAGCTGGCACTGGACTCCGGACTCCGGACTCTGGAGCTCGTACTGGACTCTGGTGTAATGCCCCATCCCTAGGGGCCACACACACGGATGAGAAAAGGAAACAAATTAAAAGTTTAACAAATGAAAAATTGGCAAACAAATGTTTCTGCTGGCATTGCAAAAAGGAGTTTTATTTTCGGGGATTTGCTTTGTTTTCCAGGGGAAATTGATGGGGAGGAGCCGTGTATGGGATGTCCTCGGGGCTAAAGCCCACAAAAACGAAAACAGAGGAGAAACGAAACGAAAAGCCTTTTGAAGATCCGCCACAGACGGACAGAGAGCCTCCACTTTCACTATCTAAGAGAGATGGGGCGGCAGAGATATGGGTTTCGGGGTATCGCATCGCATCGCATCGCATCCGATCGAAGAGGCTTTTTCCCGCCATTACGACACCTCAATTTGCGATGGGGTCTGATGCCCAGAAGCTATGAAAACACACAGAGACAGAGGGGTCGGAGGGGCAGGGGCAGTGGCAGGGGCAGAGTCACGGGGCAACCTCCTCCCGAAGCGGCGGCACAGCTCCTCCCCAATGGGACCTTCCCCCTTTTTTTTGTGCTGTGCTGTGTTGTTGTTGTTTTTGTAATACTCATTAAGCCACAAACAAGTTCATAACTCCTGGGAGAGGTGGAGGGTCAGCCCCCACCCCACCAGCCCCCATCCAGCCCACCATCAACATCCATCCAGCCCACAGTACTTCCGAAAAGTAAACGAACCAGAGCCGTGATCGCAAAATGATGATGATGTTTGGACATGTGAGAAAGAGGCAGCAGCAGCAGCAGCGGCAGCGGCAGCACCTGTAGATCGTAGCACGATCATGGCCCGGATCGATGGGCTAAAAGGCTAAAAATTGATTTTTAAAAGCATGGCATGGCCGTGGCATGTCCGTGGCATGGCCCTGGCTTGGCCCTGGCTCGGCTTGGAAGGAGCAAAGTGGAGAAAAGTGGAGACGGGAACATCCCATCCCATCCTATCCGATCTTCATCTGCTGGAAAAGGGTGTAGACCGTTCGATCGACCGCAAAGTAAAAGTTCAGCTCGGGGTCTCCCCAGCGATGACGTTTTATGGTCAGAAAAACACTTTCCTTCGGTTCCCTGATGATCAATCGATCGCTTCAGATGATGATTATCTCTCGCCTCACCGCGTGCAACGTGGAACGAGGAACGTGGAACGTGGAACGTGATTTGCTACCACAGAGGCATGAACATCTATTGTCGTCGTCGTTGTCGTCGTCGTCGTCTGTGGTTTTGACCTTTGGCGACATTATTTAACCGCACAAACCATAAACCAAACGAAGAGTAATAATAATTGAACAAACGGGCGTCGATCAGGGATCATCATAATCGTTCGATCGTTGAAGTTCAATAGCATTTGGAAGGAGGGGAAAGCGAAGACCCTGTGGGAAAATCACCAGAAGAATGATCTAAATCGGATCTCATCCCAGCCCCCGATTCCTGTAGAAAAACTTTCTCCATAGATCCTTTCCTCTTCCCCCCACAGCATCCCTCTTAATTTGTCAACGTTTTTGGTGGAGTGAAAGTCGTCGCATAGATCTTCCTTAGAGATCCCCCATAAGCCCCGAACTTATTCAAAATTCAATTGAATTTGCACGCAATAAACACGACGCCTTCAGATTCACACATCAACACCTCCAGCTCCACCTCCACCTCCACTGATCCTCCACTGAGCCTCCAAGTGCCTCCTCCTCCTCCTTCTTTTGCTGCCTCATGGACTCCATTTCCAAGTTCATAAAACTCTGTGCCACACACTCTTGCTGTGGCTGTGGCTGTGGCTCTGGCTGTGTGGAAATAAAGCCAATATTTATGAGCAGGCGGCATTCGGCAATTGGGGAAAAACTTTATTAGCAATTTGCCAATTTGAATAAAATGAAACCAAACGACGAGACAGAGCCACAGCCACAGCCAGACTTCAGGGAGCAGCAGCCAGCAGCCAGCACCGAGCACTGCTCTGCTCTGTGTTGCAAGTATCTGCGGCTCGAGAGGAAGGCAGGCAGAGAGGCAGAGTTGGAGGTGGAACCACACCTTCCTTCCATGTGTGGCACGTCTGTGGCTTGATTGAATGTCTTGTTGTTGTTGTGTGTGTGTGTGTGGGGGGAAGTAGTAGCAAGTGGCACAAGCAATCAGTGCTGCACCTTGTGGCACTTGTGGCATTAAACTTCAACGGAATGAATCATCCCGCTGCAATGTGCCTGTTCTTTGATGATTTTTTGACAGCCAAATGTGACCAGGCGACCCTCAAAAGGCGATGAATCATGGCTACAGTGTGACCGTTTTAGGGATCAGTATTCGGTGGGCCATATTTTAGGCTGAATTTACAGCAAAGACCTCTCCCAACTCCCTTTTAAATAACAAATTGATGAATCAGAGCTGCAGTGTGCCCGTTCTTCGCCTATTTTTAGCACATTTCAGTCCACGAAACGTGACCAGATCTCAATAAGAAAGAATTGTGAAGTGTGACCATTCTTTTCGTTGATCTTTTGGTTTGTTTTTTAATCAGAATTTGCAATAAAAACTGCCTCCTTCCTCCTGTTTATATTAGAAAGTCCCGGCCATCTGCCACTTGTTGCTGGACCTCAGTTTTTTCCCCCTTTGGCATATCTTTGGCTTTCATGTGGCGTTGACTTTATGATAATGGGGGCCCGTTCGGTTGCCATTGTCACGTAAGGATCCTAACAAATATGAGGGTTAGCCGGCGAAGACCCTGACAGCAGCAGCAGCAGCAGCGGCAGCACCAGAGTTCAGGGAGATGAGCGACCCCACTCCTCCGGAGTGGCACCAGGTGCGAAGAAATGCAAATGTGGGGAAGACACTCTTCGGTGGGTAAGGTGCCAAAAGTCGTGATGTGACTCAATCCGTTGACTCTTTGGACCCGAGGAAAACAGAAAAAGAGGAAACCCAAGACCCAAGAAACCAAAGCCTGGAAAGCCTGGAAAGCCCGGCAGATGGAAAGAGAGGAGAAAAAACCTTTTGGCATATCAAACATAGCAAATCGCCAAGAGACAAAATCTCTTTGACAGCCTTCAACTAAAAGGAAAAACTACACAAAAACTACTACTACACAGAGACAGAGAGACACGGAGACAGAAGACAGAAACTGATGCAACAAAAACATTGTAGCACTGCCGGAAGAGAGTCCACAGGAAAAACAGAAAACCAAGAGAGAGAGAGAGACCAGGCCAGGCCAGGCCAGAGCAGGCCGAGATAGAGGCAGGGGCTGGGGCAGGGGCAGAGGCAGGGAAAAAGTTCAAGCATTAACAAAAGTTCGAATTGTTTCCAATATCGAAATGCACTTTTTGCCTTTGACAGACAGCAAATGCAGCAACACAGCAACAGAGCCAAAGCAAATGCAACCCAAGAGATACACAATCTGACAGCAGTCCAAAGACTGCTCCGATGGACGGACAGCCAGACAGACAGCCAGACAGACGGACGGACAGATGGAGCCAAACGAAAGTGAGGCACTCAAAGAGCGAGAGGGGGGGAGGAAGACCATTTTGATCTTTGTTTATGCTTCTTGGCATTTCTCAGATCCATTCCAGAGTGCAGAGAGATCCATTCTGCAGCTGAAACGAACAGAATGCTGAGGGATTGGGGAGTGGGGCAGAGCCCTCTGCTTTGGCAACCAAATCGGGGGATCAATGATCATTAAAGGGACTTGGAGACCCAAGGCAATCATTTGCATGCCGCACAGACGACTGTGGGTCGTAGTTTCCCCAGCAAATGGCTACAGATACTTCTTCTATCTGATAACCGATACGGTAACAGATCCGCCAATTGATCCGTTCCGAGAGGTACACGTAGATCCCCCCAGTAAGCACTAGGCAACCCGTAGACTGACAGCTTTAGTTGGTGGTAAGACATTCGAGAATTTGACACAAGACACAAATTTTACCCCAAACCCCCAGCCAAAGGCGGGACCGCTTGAGCCCCTTCTGCTGTGCCCTTCAGGGCGGCGGCCTCTCCTGAAAAGAGGGTGCAATGTGTCCAGGGATCTCCACTGTTTCTTGTCTTCGTTTGGCTGTGGTTTTGGGGTAACACTCGTCCGTCTCTTCGCTTTTTTAACACTCTTTTACGTCGGGTTTTTGTGGGCTGGCAGTCTCTGTAAAGAAATAGTCCTGGCTCCAGTCTGCACAAATCTTTGATGCTCACATCTTACCCATCTCGCGGAGACGCTTCTGCTCTGCGATCTCCATTTTGACCACCACCGAAAACATGTAGTCGATTACTGGCAGAGCCACAATCAGTTGCGGTATGGCTTTCCAGTAAATAGGCATTTTTCAGAGATTTTTTAACAAACAAATCTAGACGCTACTTCTTTCTACTTTCCTATTCTAATACTATTTTGAATCTTTACGCACGAGCTACTGGATTGGAACTGTTTCGAAGACAGTTTTCAATCAAATATCATAGTTTTTTGTTGGCAATCTCCACATCAATAGATCTATGCTTTAGATGCCTTTCCCTTTCATCTTTCCTGCATCCATGCACGTGATGCAGCAGCGCCCCTCGGCTGAGCTTCGTTTTGGTGCCGCCAGGGCGTGTTTTAGCCATGGCTACTCCTTTCCCTCCGATTACCCAACACTCGATCGATATTACATACGAGACCTCCATAAAAAACCCCCAAAAGTAAATGACAACAATTAAAAAACACAAAAAAGTATCAGCAGGAGAAAGCGAATAAAGGAGTGAATGAATCAACGAATCAGCGAATGAGCCAACGAATGTTAATTATGAAATGAAAATTTCAACAATTTCCCAAGAGGGAGCGAGAGAGGAAGAAGTAATCCTTAATCTCGGTTCCATCATCATTTTCGACCGAAAAATTGGCAATTGGCAAATGTCTCAGCGTATTTCATACGAGTATTTCTCTCGTTTCGTTTCGTTTCGATTCGTTTATTTCTTTTTAAATTGCGATGAAAAATTAAAATTTGCACGCAATGTCCAAAACGTTCGAGTGGAAAATTAATGAGAGGAGTTATGAGGAGGCAGCGACACCCCACACCACCCCCCGCCCCCCCTCGTGCTCCCATTGGAGCTCCTTTTACAGTTGCAGAAATGGAGGCGAAAATATTGTTGATAGTTTTCGTACATGAGAAATGGCAGGCTCCTTAATTGCGGAAACAAATCAAACCAAACACCAAAGGAAAAACTCAAGAAAAAGAAGGAAAAACCATCAATTTTTTGGTTGCGCAACATCTGAGCCGAGCATCGGTTTGGGCCAGAGATCTGTCCGTCTGTCCGTCTTTGATTCTTACCTGCAAAGAGAGGAAAGCAAAAGAAAGTGAATTAGTGACACAGTTTTCAATGGGAAGGCAGGCGAGGAGAGGGAGGCCCTAATTTATGGGTGCACTCCCCCCCAAAGCCAAGGGATTTCCTCTATAAATATATAATTTATGACTAAATAGGGGACTCCTCCTCCCCCCTCCCCACACACTTCTCTCTCTCTGACAAAACAAATGATTTGTTTGGCTTACTATAGTTTCGGAATTGGAGATGACCCCCACCCCCACACCCCGCCCCACAGAATTGACAGCTCCCCCGAAAGTCCCATCCCAGGCGTTCCAGGAAGGGGTGGGGGCGGGGGCAGGGGCAGTTTGTTATGCTAATTGAAAAGCCAACCAAGAAAAGCTTTTCCACTCGAGTATGGGAAATTTATGTACGACTCCGATTCCGACTCCACTGAGGCGTAGAGAGAAAAACTTTTCACCCAATTTTCTGGCTCGTGACATTCGCGTGGGTGGAGCCCCTGAACGGTGCGAGGGGGAGGGGGAGGCGTTGCAAGTAGAGGGTGGTGGTGGTGGTGGTGGTGGGGAGGGGGGATAGGGGTACGGACAGACAGACGCGACTTGGGCACGCGACGAATTTCGATTTTTTTTGTTGTTTTTCGTGTGGCCTGCGGTTTTTTTTGTGTTTTTTTGTTGCCAGCTCGTGGTGGCCCAATTTTCGTGGAGTATGGAATGCATTTGCCCAGATTGTCGATAGAAAGTTCCATACAGAAATAATGTGACTCTGGAAGCCAATAAAAATCGAAAAAAAAAAACCATGCTCCACATTTCCTGCCACACAACAGAAAATCGATAAGATAAAGAGTTTTCCAGTGGGAGTTGCGGGGGTCCTAATGGCAGGCATAAATCATCGGGGTTGGGGCACAGATTGGGGGCACATGAAAGGTCTGGTGGGGTCTGTCACTCGATTGGAAATTGGACTCACTTTCGGGCACTCGATTGAACCCCTAGCCGAGGATCTTGCACCGCCCCAGACGCCCCAGACACCCCAGACAGGCCCTCTGTGAGCGCTGGAGAATCTCTTGTGATCTGCTGGGCGCCCAAAACACCTGCTGCTTTTCCCATAGGTCCCGGTGTGAGTCCCCCACTCCCTGGCACGTTTTTGAATGGCATTTTGTTTTCGCTCTGATGCGCTCCATTGCCGTCGCGCACAAAGCAAACTCCTTGAAAATGTTACGAATTTATTGTTACACCAGCAGCAGCAGCAGCAGCAGAGACACAAGAAACACAGACGACTTGAGTGAGACATTCCCTCATGGCGGGGAGACATACAACCTCGTACTCTCGTCTGCTCGTCGTATGCATAACAGTGCGCGAAAAAACTGACAAGACGACGGGGTATGAGGGGGGGTGTGGGGAGGAAATGCAAATTGTTTATGTAAGCAGCAGAGGAAGCTCCCGCGCCGCAGCAGCGCCAAGGCCGCAAAGAGGAAATGGACGGTGGATGGAGAGAGACATCCCATCCAATGCGATCCCATCCCAGCCCGCATTGGGTGGCATTCACATGGCAGATGATCATTCATGCATGAGGCATGGCCGCAGGAGAGGTCTTTGACCCGCGGATTCACACAAATGATAAGAAACAGTCGGTACTTCGAGTGAATAGCGAAGGCAGTCGAAGGACACCGCCCGCACAGCACAGCTCTCCCCAGAAAGGGGGTCGCGGGGGTCAAAAAAGAGGTGCCAGTCCCTCGAACTAATTGTCAGCAGATTCGGAAACCAATTTCATGGCCTGTCAATCATTGCAAAGAGAGCGAGAAGGGCAGAGGCAGAGGCAGTGGTAGAGACAGAGACAGCGGCCCTCTGCTGATTTATGCGACAGCAATGGAAAATTGTTTTTCCCCCGGTTCGTGGCTTTTCCACGACAGGGTCAGGGGTTAGCATAATATTTTTCTGATTGCATTTCAATTTCTTTCTTCATATTGGCCATAAATCTTGGCGGCAAGTGGCAAGTGGCAAGCAAATTAAAAGTCATAAATTATTGCCACGATTCGCTGCAATTCCCATTGCCATTCCCATTCCCCTTCCCATTCCCCTTCCCCATTTGCAATTGCAACTTTCAATGTGCAACTGTGCAACATGTTGCACGCCACACCACGCCACGCCACTCCGCGCCACTCCACTCCCAAGCGGCTCTTCTGGCGCTGCAAATATATTCAATCTTTTCCTTTCTGGCCACTTTAATTACGCCAATCCGTAAATAGAGTCAAAGTTGAAGCCCCAAAAAGAGGCCTGACAGCGGCCAAGGGGGCGACAGTCGACCAGGTGCCTCAGTGGGTGGTTAACGATTTTTTAATTGAAATTACTCGACTCTGCATCCTCGAAGCGGACTCTCCTTTCGAGGAATCCCATGACTTTTCAAAAGTTTGCATTTAAGGATTGTCGCAGAGTGGAACCAAGAGGAATTTCGTTTGTATTTAGGGTTTCGAAAAGGTATTCCCGCTATTTGAACTACTTGAACACTTTCCACCTCTTTAGTGGGTGCCCTTTAACCCTCAACCCTCGATGGATTCCAATGAAACTTTGGTATATCTTTAATTCTACCATCATCTAGACCATCACAACTTTGAAAGTGAATTTAATGAATAGATCTTGAGTTATAACGGTCTTAAGGAAGAGTATAACTATAAAATATTGTACATTCATAATCTTTTATAGGGAATATTCTCCAATTCCCACATTTATCGATGGTTTCCACTGAGATCCACACTATCAGAACCCATGCAGGATTCTTATAACCCTTAACCCTCGATGGATTCCAATGAAACTTTGGTAAATCTCTAATCCTACTATTATCTAAGCCACTACAACGTTTCATGCCAGAGTAATGAATAGAACTTGAGTTATAAAGTCCTCAAGAGTGAGAACTCTCCAAGAGGCCATACATTTATTACCTTGCCACTCAAAGTTGAGCCCACAAACGAATTAGGAAGTACAACAGATCTCCCTCCTACCGCAGGGCCAGGGAACGGGAACGAGCACACATGTGCCTCCAAAACCCAGACCTAGACCATAACCACAACCATAGCCAAGCCTTCCTTCCACTTCAATCTATTGTTTGGGGTTTTGACACCCACGTATATCATTTCCGTATGAAAGAAGCATTGGAAATGCGTTTTTCCCCCAGAGCTGGAGCTGGAGCTGTCGAAGACACAAATTAATCTTTCTTTCCCGACTCCTCCTTGTCTTTCCAAAGTGATAACAGGCATAATAAAGTTTTCAACACTCAAAATGGTATAGCGGATAGAGAGGGGGACCCAGCAGATCTGCCCACAGATACTCGCACAACATGCAACATTTTGAGGCTGGAAGAAGCTCCTCCACCAGTACCAATACCAATTCCATTCCATGACGTTGTCATTTGTGGGGATTGCGTGACGATTGCGCATTTCTCGGTCTCGGAATGGGTATTGGGTCTTGAATTGATGGGTTTTGATGGGTTTATAATGTTGCTGGAAAAACGTTTGGGCTTTCCGCCTTAATAGAAACATATACGTACGTATATACGGGGGAAATGGCCAGGCCCCAAAGAGAAATCTTCGTTTAATTCAAGATATTTGTGGTCTTGCATAAGGGGTTCCGTTCCTCCTAACAAGACCAGACCTCACCTCTGACGATCCTACGACGATCCTCTCCCCAATTACAAATTATTATTATAAATTTAAATGCAAAGCCGCTCCCCGTCAATCAATTTTTATGTGCGCCTTCAACTTGAGACAAAAAAACAGAAAAACCCCCCAAAAAGAGTCGAGGATGAGGATGAGGCAAGGCCTCGCCTTTCAAGAGCATCGCGATAAAAAATGCCAATAGATGTTCGGTTTTGGATAAGACTCCAGGGAAAGGGGGTAAGAGAAGTAGTTTGGGAGAAAGTCGGGGAATAGAACAAAAGGAAGTTGAAGCCGGGGCTGGAGACAAGATGGAACGATGGCTGTACGCCCACAATCTCCACACAGAGACGAAAGGGGGGTGTGGGGGGGCTTCTCCAGTTTCCACCCACTCCAT